CGTTTTCTTTAAACAATGTATAAATGTCAGATGGATATTGTGTTATGAACAAATCAAATTTCAGTCTATTATCGTGGTCCTTGGTACGCTATCAATCACGCTGCCTCCAGCGTTATACCGCCGGACTGGGATCAATATCGCTCTGACCTCTCAATATCGCTCTTTATCGGCTCATCATTCTCTGCATGGGCACGTGAGTGTGTGTGAATATAGTCAGTGCGTGTGAGCATGTACTGTACGTCCAAGTTGGTCATCTTTATATTGGTATGTGCACCTCCATCCCCCTGTAAGTGATAAATGAACAATTGAGGACAGTCAAGGCTCTAGTTCCCTGCTGAAAGCACTGTGAGATTGGGGGTTTTGAAGGCCATAGTCTTCCAAGTATTTCAGCTGAACAGAGTAGGAAGGAATCGATTGATAGAGAGATGGATGGATGGAGACAAAAGTAGCTGGTAAAGAGCAGATAGGGGTCATGGATCTTTCTGGGGTTTGACTCAGGAAGTCAGGAGAGAAGTGGTGATGGATCGCATCTCCTGAAGCGGAACAGAGAGAGAGATATTAGCACTGTGCTTTCAGTCATCGTTTTCAGCAGAGACTTGACCTATTGTACAGTACATCTATGTACAGCACTTCTTTTGCAGGATTTCTTGTGTCAAGAATGCTTAAAAGTTATGAATGCTGGTCTGATGCAAAGTTGTAATTATTCCCTCACTGGTAAGTGGTTTGGAAACTGGAGAAAAAAAGTGTTGGCTGTCCATACGCTTGTGGATGCCCACGACCACAGCATTATATCAGGGGGAAAACACTCTCAATGCATCATAGTAATCCCATTCTGTCACAACTGCTGTCTGTAGGAGAGCTCAGAGTCAGCTGTGATTTCAAGCATCACCAAGATACAAGAAACTGTTTGGAGTAACAGTTCAGAACTGTAGTTTTGTCTTATTCTATGATCAGGATATGTGAAAATGAATCAAAGTGCTAATTTTTTCATTAATGGGTACATCACAAAATGATCCCATGTAACTCCAAAATAAAAAGAAACATCTGTTCAGCCACTGTGTGGTGACCCTTTTCCCTCAGAGACTATTACTCATGCTGTGTAACCTCTCTCATTAATACTTACGAAAAAGATAGATGGACATTGCCCATGCAAGACTGCAGTAATGAAATATAGTTTTTGTCACCCATAAAAATAGGGCCCAACACACATTCAAGCACAAGTTCTGTGCTTATGCTTAACCAGCATATAGAAGAAAGTAGAATCAGGTTTCCATGATAGAGTAGTTTTGTGATTCCATTAATTCAATAAACTCCTAATTTTCTGTTTATTGATAGTTAGTAAGGTAGTTGTTAAGGTTAGGTATGGGGTATGTATAGTACTGGGACACAGTAGAGATTCACAATCTATTCTCAAGATAACTTTACTACATTTTTGAGCGATTTCGTATTTTAATGATTTTTTATATTGCATTACATTGTTTTCATTGCACTGGAAAAAGCAACACTGAGGGAACAATGAATTGGCGTCACAGTCTTATGAATGGTAGTAGAGGATTCACCAGCATTAGGGGAAGGTGGGTGTCAGGTGTTAGTCTCCATTAGAAAGCTTTTACAGGGAATCACATCATGGCCAATCCACACTCCACCTGTCACAATGACATATTTCCCTTGCAGACGGAATACAATTCCAGGAAGTGAGCCGCAGGAGCTGTTAAGTTTTTCACATTTGGCGTCTCTCCAGAGACGACTGAGGGGAATGGCTTCATCAAGATGCATATGCCATTAATATATCAGTTTTATATGCACTGTAAAATAAGGGCACAAGTAATGGGATGGTCCACAAAGTGCTTTCCTATAATCTATGAATGTTTACGGCAGATATAATACATTAGTTCGCTATTGTCAGGGTTGATATAAAATTGTGCTAATTAATAACTGCCAATTGGAGAGCTGTTTCTCATCGAGGCTAAAACGCGCACACTTGCACTGCTCTAGTATCACACTAAAACAGTGTTTTACTGAGCACCATGTATGCACTAGTTTCATTATCAATATCAAGCTCAGAACTGAGTGCTGAATGCCGTGTTTCTGAGTTAAGCTGGGCTTTAGGAAATCAAGCTCAAAGACATTTGGGGCAAGCAGAATAGTATATCACCTTTTTGCCGATCTCAGTTTTTGGCTGTTCTCTTTTCTTGCTTGTGGAGTAAAATTACTACTGTAAAAGTACTACTGTAAAAATGTGTGCCAGACATGAATTTTATTGACAAATAAAGATATATTAAAATTGTAGTTAGAGATGAGAACCTTTGGGAACAACTGTGGTATGCAGCACAACAACAAAAAATAATTAAATAAATATATTGTATGCATATATGTATACAAGTTCACAAGTTTTTGGGACAGTTTTTTTATTTTATAGAAATTAATACTTTTATTCATCAATGATGCATTAAGTTAATCAAAAGTGATGTCAAGTCATGTATAATGCTACAAATGATTTATATTTCAAATAAATGCTGTTTTTTTATTTTTTATTCATCAGAATATACTCAAAAAACTTATCACAATTTCTACAAAAATATTAAGCATAAAGCATTGATAATAATACGTATCTTGAGCAACAAATCAGCATATTAGAATGAGTTCTGAAGGATCATGTGACACCGAAGACTGGAGTAATGATGCTGAAATAAATGTTACAATATATTAAAATACAAAACAGTTATTTTAAATTGTATTGCTATTTTACAATATTACTATTTTTGGTCAAATAAAGGTTGTTGTTTAGTTTTTTTGTTTTTGTTTCTGGAAAAAGTTATGTACAGACCATGAGCTATGGATGATGATGTGTATCTGGTTGATTCCTGTTGTTATGAATAGGTGGATAACGCTGACACGACAGTGAAGGACATTCACACCGCCAGTGTGAACCCCAGTGCTGTGTGAATAAGTGGCTTTGCAGTTGGCTGTCTAAAGATTTGCTGTACATCAGCGCCTCTCTTCCTGTTTGTGTGTGTGTGATATGAAGTATGTGGCATGTAGGTGTTTGAGATCTGTGGCTTTGCACTCCAAGCTGCAACAGCCCCCTCCCATTAGACTGTCACAAGGCCCAATAATAACCTCTCTAATAACAGGGTTGGCTCTCTCTCACTCTCTCTGCTGCTCTCTCTCTTTCTCTCTTTCTTGGAACAAATGTTCTTCTTCATATCCAACATCACGCAATTAGTGTGGCTGAATGAGGATATGCTCATCATCTGCAGATATAGCCACATTTGGCTGCATGCCTTACAAAAAGCCCAAAATTGGGATGACGAAGATGTTCACATGAGTGATTCAGTCACATCACATACCTGATGAAGGGGTTTATCACAGCTCATTTTTGCTTACAGTAGATATCCTGACTGATAAATAGGACAGTCAGTCATGATTTTTGTGAACTTAGTTCAAGCAATTACTGGGTGTGAGCTTTCCAAGAAGAGCCTTGATGAAAGCCTGGGCTCTGACGACATCTGAAAAGACATCTGTATAAAAAGGAAACTGAGATTTTCTCAGGAGTACTGCCCCAGTAGACGTAGTGCTGCCTTGTGTCCCATCAGGCTCAACTTGCACTGATCTTAATGACTCTAACAGAGAGCGGCTGAAAGTAGTTGTGATTGGGGATGAAATGAAAGTAGTTTACTGGGGGTTGTACAGACAACTGGACTAGTCGTTTGATTTCGTCATTAGTCAACATGTTGGGTCTGTGTCGAATAAGTCTTTTTAAAGCGCTTGAACGCACTTTTAAAAGCACGTGTGTGTGTGTGTGTGTGTGTGTGTGTGTGTGTGTGTGTGTCAATTTAAATTGAAATTCAAAACTTTGAAATCTTTGGCAACATAGTGTGAAAAAAAAACATTAAATAACTCAACAAGTTATTTGAGTGCTTCAGAGGACTCAACAAGTTAATTGAGTGCTTCAAAGGACCTAGGTACTCTTGAATACTTCATTGTGAATCTGAATACTACTTTCCTTTTTACATTGTCTGTCTATCATCTGAATCTTAGCTTTCTTCCCCTCCCTCTGAGAAGAACAGAAAAGTATGTCAAGATTTCTCAGCCTTGAATAATCCTTTCAATTACTGTCAGACAAAAAAGCATTTTGAAAGCCTGAGTGTTGCTGGGTAATGTCAGACACAGATGTTCATTGAACTAACAGGGTATTGGATCAGATCAGCTCTGCTTGGTTAGGTTTGAGTACATATTGTTTTGTGCAAAGTGGTTGTGGTTCCACTTTGCAAAGAACAAGACCTTTTATTGAACTGTTCGTTTCTGGTGAAGGGGTTAATGAACAATAAGAGTGTCCAAGATAGAGTGTCTAAAACATGTAGAACTTATATTAATGTTGATTTCATATGATTTTAAAAACGTAACTTTGACTTCATTTAATAAATATTATTATGTTTTGGGGGAGTCACACCACATTTCAATATTATACTTGTAATTTTAATTCAGAATTTGATTCAGAGATGAGGTATATGCAAGTAATTATAATATCTGTGAATTGTATTTTAAATAAATTCATAGATTTAGGCAATATATATATATACATGCATGCATACATACATACATACATACATACATATATATATATATATAGCACTGATCTTAATGGCTCTGACAGAGAGCGGCTGAAAGTAGTTGTGATTGGGGTTGTACAGACAACTTGACTAGTTTGATTTCGTCATTAGTTAACATGTTGGGTCTGTGTTGAAAAAGTATTTTAAAGGCACTTGAACTGCTCTGGTTTAATTTGTATGTGTCCATGTGTGTGTATGTGCGTGCGTGTGTGTGTATTCATTTAAATTGAAATTCCAAACTTTGAAATCTTTGGCAACATTGTGTGGATATATATATATATATAGTGTCCTGTTATTGAGCCACAGAGCAAAAAACAAAAACAAACCTTGAAAACATTCACACAGTGTGTTCACGGTCATTTATGTTTTTCTATGTATTCCCTGCAGAACGTACTGTGTGTGGATGCCTCCGACCCTCGCTGGATGATTCCACCTCTGTGATGAAAGGCTTATCCAGCAGCCGCAGCCACCACCACGTGGTGACCTGTGACCCCTCTTTAGACTCCATGGGTCACCACTTGGACCATAAGCCCTACCTCATCAGCCAGATCGACAGCCCCCATCCGGTCGACCACTCTTACTACTCCCAGAGAATCCCTTACCAGCCTGACTGCGTGGTGCCTTACGGGACCTTCCCCCGCCGACACTACAGCTCTCAGCACGAGCTGAAGGACGAGACCGCTGTGGTTCCCTACACCGGGGGAGGGGTTCCGGCCAACAAGGGCCAACAGCGTATCCCCATCACTCTGTTGGATCAGTTCGACCGGCAACTCCCAGTGCCTCGTGATGGCTATCACACGCTACAGTACAAGCGTGCCGCCGCAGCCTTGGAGCAACGGAGCGACAGCCCTGGCCGAATCCGGCACCTGGTGCACTCAGTTCAGAAGCTCTTCACCAAGTCCCACTCACTAGAGGGCCCACACCATGGTCACGGCCACGGCAAGGGAAGCATCAACGGAGGCAAGGCCAGCCCCGACGGAGAACCCCCTGCTATTCGGCACCGCAAGCGCAGCAAGAGCAGGGAGCGCTGCAAGTCGGCTGAACCCAAGAACAGGACACCACCTTCTGGCTACTGGAGCTCAGATGAATTGGAACGCGAGGCCTGCCTGTTTCACCATGGACCACCGGGCGTCATGACCATGGGCCGTCACCCGGATAAGTCGCAGTCACAATACTTCTTGGAAGCCTACAACACCATCAATGACCAGGCACTTAAAAACTCCCGCAGCAGCAATGATTTGGGCAAGTGCTCGACGTGCACGAGCATCCCGCTGAGCATGGACCCTTCACATCTCGTGAAGAAGAGCTCGTGGTCGTCCTCTCTCACGGTGAGCAGAGCACGTCAAGTCTACCAGAAGGCCTCGGTAAATGTAGATAAGGCCCTAGTGAAAGCAGAGGCTTGTCAGCAGGAGCGCTCATGCCAATTCTTGCAGGTATGCAAAAAGCCTTTTGATTCTCCCCTACACCCACATGCTCACCTAACCCACCTCCACCTTTCCACCACCCCTCCTCTTCCTCCTCCACCACTGGAGAGAGCCTCCAGTTTTGATTTGAGTTCTGCTGAGAAGTAAGTGCAACCCACTAGCTGCCTTACTTTCTGTTTAGCTGACAAGCATCTGTTTGGATCCATTTGATCTCTGACTGGTATTATTTCCCTCTCTAAACCTGAAAAAGAAAAAAAAACCTTTTTTACGAATGTTTTTACCAAGTTCTTATTTTGTTGGACTGTGTGTTTGCATGTGTGTTTGCATGTGCGTGTGTGTAGGTGGTGGGTTTGGATGGGGCAAACTGGATGAGTGGTGTTCTTGTGGATGTGCATGAAGAGGATAGACTCTGACCTTTATAACTGGTGTCATGAACAGATAGGTCCTAGCTTAGTATACTGTTAGCAGATTAGCCTACTAGCTTAGCCTATAGCCTATGCAAAAGAGTTGTGCAAGATTGAGAATTAAAGAATTGTCTCAAGAATTGATGTGAATTTAAATTGGCCACACACCACAGGAAGTTGAATTAGAATGACAAGAAGAGCAATTCACTCTAAACTGCAAGTTATTTTCTAAAGCTGCAGTATGTACCTTTTTTTTGGTAAAAAATGAACAAAAATTGGTTATTTAGTAAATAAGACAACAGTGTTCAAAACTGTCTCCTTACCTTACCTCGATTCGCATAATAATGATTTATTATCATTTGAGATGTTGTGTCTGATTTCACAGGGAATTGATGTCATTTGTCAGTTTGATGCATGGTTATGTCATGTCCGTAAACAGAAAGAATACCAGGCTACTATATGCTGTGTGTGGGTGGAGCATTCGTAGCTTGTTCTTAGAAGAGTTGCTGAGTTTTTATAACTCACAATTGTATGTTTCAAACAGAGATGGCGATAGAGAGGCAAAAGTTACGAACTGCCGCTTTAAATGTGTTCAAATGTAGAAATATATAACCTGAAATATGTAAACTGAATGCAAATTTATATAGGAGGCATTTTAATCACCATTTTTGCTACCACAATTCAAAAATCACTTCAAATTCTGTTCAAATTAAATTCAGATTCAGAATTTAAATTAGGATTTAAAAGGTATGATAGGTATTATGTGTTTTTTTTGTTTTAAATCTGGCATTACAAATGACTACTCCCTGGACTCATCAACAAATGTTTTTTTTTTTTTAAGACAGTGGTCCTCTTATCTAATTGGACAAAAAATACCTGCCAAAACACTAGTGCTGACACTCTGTACAACAGCACTCTAGCTCTTGTGCTGTTACTTAAATGTGTTTTGTTTACAGTTTTTTTTCTGTATACTTGCTACATTCTCAGTACTTTTATCTCTACAGGTCATGTATCAATTATTAGAATGATGATTGTTATTAATCACTGTGTCAGAAATAAAACAACATTTTAATTAGGTTGAGAGAGAACTCACTGTATCTGATATTATTTGAAGTTTTGTACGTAAGGCTGCACAGTCCTCATAGTCCGAGTGAACAGACAAATTACCCGTAACCCGTTACGTTATACATGCATTAAATGGGCGAACTAGAGAAGATCTTTAGACCACCTGCAGTGGACTGTGAATCAGAGTTTGCACGTGGGCAGCCACATACTAATTCAGAGGCTAAATTGAGCTGGCAGGATGTCTCACATGTTCTCTATCATGCTCTGTCAATACAAAGAATAATTGGCATCTTTCCTCAGGGCTTAATCTGGACGCCAGTTGCCATAGTAACCGTGAGTGACAGGGCATTGCACTGTGCTGTTCTTGTTCAGCAAGTTGTGATTTGCTGTTGATATCAAGTTAGAATTATGTTGATGTAGACATTATACAGACATTTACAAGGTTTCACGCTTGTTCATTTGAGAGTTTGTACATCTGTATTTGTGCACTGAGGGGGATCACAATAGTGATTGATCAGTATAGGGTTTTCAGAGATTCTTATCATTTTAGAATAGGTCACATCCTTAAATTAAAAATCTAAAAAAAAAAAAAAAAAAATCTAAGCTACTTTTATAGAATGGCACCTGTTTCTGTGACAGCTCACCACAGTCAGATTCTTTGGCTTGCCAGTCAGAACACTTTGAGGCCCTGTCTGCCTGTCAGTCATTTTATGCATTCACAGGGAAGGCCATATATGGTAAACAGGAATCTGAGTGCATGGTAGATGAAGCAGATCATTTGAGTTCAGTTGTTAGTTGTGAGAGAATGCTAGCAAAATAGCAGATGGTTTTGATAACATTTTGCAACATTTGAGATGATGTGCAGCTACTTTTCTTAATATAATCGTATTATTAACTGAGTTTTTGTAGGATGGTAGTTGGTAGGGCTCCTATTTTTAAGAAGGAAAAAATCGAATAGTGATTCGATTAGATTTGAATAGTGAAACATTGCGATTGTAGTCTTTCTTTCTTTCTTTCTTTCTTTCTTTCTTTCTTTCTTTTTAAATACAACTCCAGGTTTGCTTGTTCCTAGAACTGCACAATGTGACCAAAAATGTTGTACCTTATATTTCAATATGACATAAAATAATGATATTATTATTATTATATAAAATATTAAACAAATATTGCTATTCGCTGTAAAATAAACAGTATTTAAGAAAAATAATATAAATAAAATAATAATAATAATAAAATAATATACTAATAACTAATATATGTTTTATAAGTTTATATATTTTGTGTATGAATTTAAAATGAAAAGTGTATTAAAATTGTCACAAGCTTCCAACACATACGGAGATGATGTTTGTGAAGAGGCATTTACTGAGAACCGAGCCACTCTGAGACACTGAAAACGCTAAATCAGGAGCTGCACGGGTGTAAAAGACCACAGTGCCATGCTTCACTCTGAAACGCATAGCACATACGGTATATGTAATTTAAAATGGATAATTGCCATATCAAAAAAGACTAATGTTATTTCAATTAATCACACAGCCCTTGTCTGGAGAAAGTTCCAGCTAGCTGCTAACATTGCTTACTGCACTTTTAAAAATGTGCTACATGAGACTAGAATAAGCACCTAAAGATATAAACTGAAATTCTGTTAATGGAAGAAAATGGAAGCTCTCATGTGGGACACAGTCTTTCATCCCTTGAAATGATCAAGTGAAGCCCAATCTGTTGTGTGGACTCTGAGCCTTGTACCCAGGTCTGCTCAACAGGATTTATCCTCATTTTCTGCTCATCACTTGACTAAAGGCTTGTGTGGGTGTTGGTGGTATCTTTGAAGGAAGTTTTTGTGTTTGTCGGGTCTGTGAGCGTGGATGTGTGGGCAAAGAACCAATGTTACTGGAGTCATTCTTCCTCTGACTGCCTTTTAAACACTTCCTGACGTCAAGGCCAGTCGTTTCCCCAGTAACGCAAGCTCTGCGCTGATTCATATAATCACAGTGAAATTCTTTAAAGTGGGGTTTTCTCTCAATGCCAGCCGAGAATCTCTTTTCAAGCCTTAAACTGAACCTCCATGCAGAGTGATATATGCAGCATACCGACCTGACACACAGCTGTGCTCTCTGTTAGCATGAGTTTTGTTTGGCCTTAGTAATTTGCATGCTCACATTCTGACATTTATTGAATAGATATTTGATTTTTGCTTGGAAGCAGCATTTTAATTAATGGGGGATGCGTGCATTGAGGGGGGATGCGTGTTCCCAATAGGGTTATGCCGGTATCAAATTTTCATGTTGCGATTAATTGCTAATGCTTTTATTACAGTATAGGGTATTATCACGATATTGAAATTAAGTTTAAAAAAAAAGTGCTGTCATAATACAGTATAACAGGTTTAATAACTTTTTTCTTATAACAAAAATAACTGAACATTTAAATGCAATAAAGCAATACAGAAAAATGTATAAAGTTAAAAGTTTTACACAGATTAAAGTGCAAAAGAACTATAAAGACCAATAGGTATCACTTTACAATAAGACCTCATTAGTTAACCTTAGTTAATCAGAATCAGAATCAGAAGAGCTTTATTACCAAGTATGTTTACACACACAAGGAATT